ACTTTTGGTAGAAATTCCTGTTGCAACAATTTGCAAACTCTAGAGCAAAAAACTGAGGCCAATTAAATCATCAGTTCATTCTCTCAGGCCTTCCAACAACACAAAAGTTGGCATATCTGTCCAAGCCTTATTTCCATCTGTACCTTGAGCTGAAAAATAGTTTTAGTTACACAGCTTCCTATACTCAAAAGGGGCAGCTGTCGCTCAGCCCTGGCAGACTGCAACCCTCAGAGAATGCATGTTCTATGTGACCAGATCTCACTTTTTTTCAAAAGAAGTTAGAAATCCAGGTTTTTATGCGTCTCCTGATTTTAAATGTTCACAACAAATTCCAATTTTTAAGAACTTGTCTATGGACCAATCAACACACATCTGTAAACTGTCTCTTCTGCAATCTCACTTTGTAAAGGTTAATAAGGTCTCATGCTTCTCCAGATACAAACTCTCAGTTTTGGTAAGTCTTCAGTTTTCCACATAATACAGATTTTAGGCAAAGCAGCTCTTCGACACAAATGCCAGTCCCAACAACAGATCATGATTTCATTCTCATGCCTTGCTGAATACGGAAAATATTGAATATTTGTACTTCTTACTACTTAAACAAGAAGAATGATAAATACAGAAGTAAGCCATTTAATCTGTGTTGTAGACTAACTACCCTGTGTCAACACACTTAACTGAGAGCCAGGTTAGTGGTCAGAAATGCCACACATCTTCTGATTATGACAATTGGAATTTATAATACTTTTTTGCTCCTCCAAAATGAGTCAGACAAGCTTTCTACCCAGAATCCACAAGAAGAATGATGAAATATCATGTTATTTTTCTCAAGACTACCTTGATCACCATTAGTATAGACAACTTCATCTACAACTTTATACGATGGTGAATTGCCATGGTCAAAATGATGAGAAAAAACACAGTATTCTCTTTGGAGCTAGTAATTTGGAGCAAAACAAACAAACCAAAAACACACACAAAATTTATACAGTTACGTGGGGCGGGGGGCGGGGGAATCAATGTTGAGTAACACCAAAAAAAATGACAAAGAGATAATCAGGGAAAATAATTAACGGATACTGAGAACCTATCTATAAACTGGATACCAAATATCACATAGTTTTTGTAAAAGTTGGCTCTCACGTTCTCAGCGTGAACTTTAGTGATTTTAAATTCAAAGCAGTAGGCTCATGAAATTTAAAAAGTATTGAATTTTGAAGAAATTATGGCATTCAGGAAACAGCAACAAGGTAACCAACTTAGCGATCCGTTCAAGTCCCTGCCTCTGAAAGTCACATTAGTTCACCCAGGCCTTGCCTTTCCATCTTCCTCTCCAACTTGCCTGTCCACCACTTCTCTGTACCTCTTTTGGGATATAGGGAATGTGCTTAAAGGGTGTAAATCTACAAACTATACTACCCTTTGTCTAGTTCTGAAAAAACACTCAATGAAAAGAGTATGAAACTACAATAAAACTTTTTCACTATTGGTAAATTTTACTTAACTGATTAACCCGTGTTTTCCATGACTGACTAATTGGACAATGTGGACAATAACAACATAGAAATTACAAGAAATTATAAGAAATTACAAGAAATTACAAGATGATGGATTCCTCCTGATGTTTGGTACAATGTTGACCTAAAAAGCAGAATTTTCACAACTGGAGCTAATTGGAGGTCATGGTATCTGCTATCCTAGGACTATGGAAAACAAGGTCAGAAAGAAGCAAGCCGTATTATCCAACTTAACACCCAGTTTGCAAATAGTTGTTTATTACACCTTAAAATATCCCCAAGGAAGTTACATCCATGTGATATAAGCATGCTGTGTTCAAGAGGGCAATTTACCATTATAAATTATCCTAGTTTGTGTACAGAAACCAGTAGATATTTGCAAATTCATTTCCAGGTCACTGAAGATAAAACCCAGAAAAACCTATTTTCCTCCATGTGGTGAAAGCAAAGAGATTACTTCTGCAGTGGCGCTGCCTGTTCTTAGAGTTATTCTCTAAAACAGGGTCATATAAGAATATTTTCACCCCAATACTAGCTATAAACAATTAAGACATGATTTACTGAGATACATGCTATTGTGTATGTTTAGGTTTTTAGCCAATTAATACTATATTAATAAAGACTGGAAAGTTTAAGAATAAATGAACTCTAACCAGTACGTTTCAGCAGAGTTAGCCAGAAAACATTTCTACTAGGCCCAAATGAAGTATCTTTCATTCATTAATACAGAACCACAGGGCATACTTAGACATCAGAGGCTCAATCATCTAAAAAGAGTTCCTAGGGAAACAAAAACTTTCCATTTTCATTCTGTAACTGCTCCTTAACGACAGAAAGTATTCTTTCTTTTTTGGCATTCTCTCTTTTCTCTCTACCTCGGGACATATTTACAGATGCACTGGCTGCTTTACAGACATGCTAAAAGTTCGTGCTGTGGTTGATCAAAGTTGGAATGCCTGAGGAAATTACTCAATTCAGACAGCCCGGAATTGTATCTAGCCAAATAGTTACAGTGCTCTACTTTTAACATGTGTTAAAGTAATATTTTAGCCATGCTGGATGTAAGTTAAGAGAACATTTGTTTGCATCACACTCTGTGAACAGTTGAGTCAAATATAGTATGTTGAATACCCAGTTTTATTATCTGTGACAGTTCATTTTTTTAACTGTTCAATTACACACAAAAAAACATAGTTTATATTTAAAAAAAAAAACTAACACACAACAGCATATGTATTAGGAACTAAGACTTGTTAATGATCTTCTTGAAGTGTCCAAGCTCTTCTACTGAATAGAAATTTAGAATAAATGCATCAAATATTGCTTTTGTTCATTAGAGCATTTGTTGATCTGGCATGCAATATTCTGTCAAAAAACAGAACCACCTTTTTTCTCTACTTTATTATTAAAAGTATTTTAATAAAAAAGCACTGCCTACCTGTATTCACCTCCTTTCCATTATTAATCTGCCTAATTTGCAAATAAAGACATAGCAAAATTAAGTAGAAAAATCACATCACAGCAGTTTATTTTCATGGTTTTTTTTTTTAATTGAAAGCCACAGAATTGCAGTACAAAGAGTTACTTGTCAAACATAACACAAATCTCTAACATAAAATATTGGCTTCCATAGACCTGAACATCTGAAATAGTTTTAAACTTTGTTTTAGTTGGATTCTTTACGATGTCCAGGAGGAGGTTAGCACACACGGTACCTGAAATTGTCTTTTCCACATGAGCTACAATAGAAAAAGACAAATGTAGCTGTTTCTCTAGTAAAGCCAAACTTGGCATCTACTTATACTTCCCTTCAACCTAAATACCTATACCTTTTAACCACGTTGACAATAATATGGAAATATCACTCAAAAAGAACCTAACAGACCACAGAATTATAATAATGTAAACTATCCTTCTATCAAATGTGAAGTGAGGACATGGTAGATTGGAGGGGTGAGAGGGGTGTCACTAACTTATAAGTAGTAACTTATAACTATGCTTTTTATTTAAAAGATTTCCAACCCACTAGAAAATGTTAACATCTGTACATACTCCAAAAGAGGAAAACAAAAATAAGTTCCCCACTCAGAATTTTCTGAGAAGGCTAGTAAATGTTATAGTGTTGATACCCTATGTTATACGCATGTCATGAACTGTCAGGAAATGAGTATACCATGCAGGAGGCTGGACCCTGAGTGGGAATGACTGCCAGTAAAAACTCCCTGGCAGTAGGAATGGCCAAAGCACTATTCTCAACTGGGATGCCTAGGATTCCATTTTAAACTGTTTGCTCTGCTATAGGGAGATGCAATCCTTCATTATTTTAACACTTAGGTAAAGCCTGCTGTACACATAAAAATTAGACGGCAGGTAGACAGACAGAATGAGTGGGGAAAAAACGGAAGTAATGCTTTGTTCTGCTTTGTAGCAGGATTTAGGATATGATCTTGATGAGATTCCTAAAAGTTATATAACTTAAGTTCCTCCTCATTCCCTTCCAGATTCTGAATACAGTCCTACATTTGAGAGATAGACAAAAACTTAAAATCAAAGGCAGTCTTTCAGATTGACCTTCATGATATCAGCCTGTGATTTGCTGAGCACAGAAAAATCTTCTTAGCCTAGCCCTTCATTACCAAAAGCTAAAAAGCAAAAAACCAGTAGATGTTAGATTATAAAATTGATGCCCCAAAGAATATAGATCCAAACACACACACACACACACACACACACACACACACACACACACCCGACACATATGAAATGATTCAATAATCACAGCACTATAAATCCAACGGCCAATAAATCTAATATCTCTATTAATTTAGAAGAAGACATTTTACACTCAATCCAAAAGTCTAAATTGCTGCCACATAACCAAAACACAGAATTACCACCAATTCCACCACACTACCAAATGTAGCTTTAAGTAGCTCGAAGCTGAATTCTAAAATGTAGTATATTCTTGGAGAATAATAACTCCCAGAGCAAAACAAGGGCTCATACATAAAGCTACAAGCTCCTTAGGAACTGCTAAGTCTGGTCTCAGACCATACCTTCTACCAGATTCAGCCAAGATGAATTCATCTGATAAGTTCCACAGAACTCACCAAGAAATGGCTAGAAAAAGGTGAAGTTCCCGTCAGTACAAAGCTCTGTAACATAACAAGCTCTGTACTTAAGTGTTTTGACTTGGCCAAAAACTAATACACAGTTTTGATGCAGTGTAAAAATTAATCTGAAATGTAATAACTGATTCAGTTCTCTTTTTATTCTAAAAAAACTTAAAAGAAAAAAGAATCACTGCTTTTCCTTAATTAAGCAGGTACTTTGCAGAGCGTGTTTAGTTTCTAGGGTCTGAGGAAAAGAACAGATGCATCTACTGTGTAAACACAAACAGTAAGTTACAAGTTGCCCCTTAGTACTAAAGGCAAGAATCAGCATCACTACTCAAAAAAGTGTTTTAAAAAGAGTGTAACTTACTTTTACTGCCCCGGGCTAACTGGGCTCTGTCTGGTGCTTCTTTGTCTGTACTTGGCCACCCACAGCCTGTCTTCTAATTAACTCAATGCTCTATAGCAGCAGAACAAGCAAACAAGTTGCCTCCCATCTGCGTACAGCTCTTCAGGACACATTTCCCTTGGTCAGAAGGTGGAAATTCTTGAGAGAGGTGATTTTTCTCTGCCTCTTCACAAGAAGAACATGGACACTTGGCTGGATGCAACTCCGTGAAGTGTAACTGTGTGTGTACACCTCAAAAAATAAAAAAAATAAATAAAAAAAAAAAATGCAGAGAAACATAAAGACTCTATAAACACCTGGAATACATAGAAATACTGAAGCACCCCTGGAAATACTGCTAAACAGAGCAAAATAGGGTCTTTGACTGAAATAATCAATGATACCAAGTTGAAAAAAAGAAGTAAAAAGAGCATCCGAAGTCAAAATCCAAATGTCATGCAATGAAAACATTTTAAGTACTACAAAGTAGAAAAGGTAAAACTCCTTGCTTCGCATACTTAAAAACAGGAACCCCCTCCCCATTACAGAGAATAAAAGATATTGTCAATGGAAGAGAAAAATGAGACTTTCAGGGGTAGTAGGTCTAAAATTAGACTCCTCAGTCACATGGTTAATGGGCACTTGTGTGTATGTGAGCTAAATGCATGGAGCTGTCTTTCCAATGTGTTCAGCCCTGTCCAGGAGCAGAGGGGAGGAGGAAGCAAGGAACCACTTAAATACTCAGCTACCCTTTGCATATGAAAAGATGATTTCTGCAAAACAAAAAAATGTGCAGAAGAACAAAGATGCTCATTTATTTAAATAATTTTTAACCTCTCAAATAAACATAAATGAGTGTAAAACAGATGCCCCTACTTTTTTGCAACAAAAACCAAACACTGAAGCGGGGTAGGGAGGAGGTGTGGTTAAGCATCTAATCACAAAGAAACCCCACAACTGAATTTGCTACAGGCTTGGCGAGAGACAGGAGGTTATATCAGGCCTTCCCAATATTCCCTCCCATCCTAGATATGCCCATATGCCAGGAGCAAGCCACACCATCTTCATGACCCCTAAGCATCCCAGGGACTGGCAGGCCTTCTCTCCCCCTAAGGCACACAAACAATTCCAGCCAGAAGCATAAGGCCAAGGGAAGGGTGTGTGGCCTAATCCTGCAGCTGCACAGAGGCCTGGGCTGTGGTCCACCAACAACAGACTACTCAATGGTGATGACATTCTGGAGACCCCTGCTTTATAGAAATGCATGCAGAGCTGGCTCTACATCTCAGGATGTAGAGGTCAGATAAATGCATAACAATACTACATATAATAATATAAATATACAGTAATGCAAATACCTACATTTTTTCTCTCACACCCCAAACTATCAGCCATCTGGATAAGAAGTTACTTTTTAAAGGAATTTCTAGAGTTTATAAGCAAGCATCATATTGGATTATATAGAGATCCAAAGACAATGGACCACTTTTAGCAGACATAAAAACTTGTGCCCACTATACACTGCCCTTTAAATGCTAAAGCATTTGGACAATAAACAACTTACGACCATGAATTACCATCTCCCCTGACCATAGGAAGACTTAAAGAATGAAGCAAGTCAACAAAGGAACAGCAGGGTCCACTTAGAATAACATAAGTTCAACAAAACATTTTTAACAAGGGAGTCTGTGCAATTTACCTTTCTCTATATGAAATTTAAAAGCTATATCTATCACTATTGCTAATGCATAGTATTCTACCTACCAAAACAATCAGTTTTCAAAATGAGTTAACCAAAATCTCTCAAAGGGTACACCAGCCAGCCAGCCAGATTCATCAGTTTCCTCACAAAAGACAAGTAACCTCTCAAAAGTTTGTCAGTCATATTTCACCTATTATTCCTTACTAGAACTTTTTAAAGCACATCTTCGTACTTCTTAAGAAAAATATACTGATGTGCAAAGGGCGCTTCAGTAAGCATTTTATGAGTTCATTTTCTGTCAGAATCTATGAAAAGCTCTCTACTTTAGCAGTGGCATCATGACTCACCCAGATCTATATCTAATTTTCTCACATAAGAAATTCATATTAGAAGCTATACATGTGAAATGTGCAAAATTATGGTCTAGAATTTTAAATCTACTGTCACTACCCAAACCAAAACTATTTCAAAAACAGGCATGAAAACAACTGTCTCCCAAATGCACAGCCCTAGGTATGAAGATCAAATTGTTTCACAAATTTATCTTCTCTGCTGTGAGGGAAATCAGGGTTGATAGAAGTCCATTTCCCATCAGGTATAAAAAAGAATCTCAAAAAAACTATTAATAGTTAAATGAAACAATGGGACCAAATCACTTTAACAATAAATTATTAAAATATGATCTAAAAAACTGACCTCTCCATTTCCTTCACCACATTTTGAAGATAAACAAAATGCACTTTGGCATCATCTCATTTTCAACTCCACACTGCAGAATACCTCTCATACAAATGGCCACCTTCCCTCCCAAAACCCCAAAGGAAGAAGCTAGTCAGTTTACTAGGCAGGAACTTATGCGCATGCCCCCCACCCCTCATTTGTATGAAGGGAACACTCCCTCTGGTGCCCAGAAGTTGTAGTCTTATGATAACACCACTTGTTTGTCCTGGTGGATGAGAAAAATTAAACTACACAAGGGAATGGGATTCCAAGAAAAGCTCAAAAATGATTTGTCTAAGTAGCCTGGTTAAGTTACAGAGGCCACCGAAACACAATTTTTTCTATTATAAATTTTCTTTCCTTTCACCTTGTCTCTTCCTCCTCCGTGGCAACAAGTTGAGGTCAGTGTACTCCTCACTATTTGGGTAAATGCAAATTTTCATATTTTCCAAAATACAAGGCCAGATACCCCTTCTAGCCAATAAGGACCATTAAACCATTTCAGTCATTTCAATCTACAGTTAGTAAAGTCCTCAGGAAACTCAAACCAATTTTAGTTATCTGCCTAAGTAATAATGTAACAAACAAGTTTAAAAAGTATGTTTTTTTTAAGTCAAAAGTATATACCAAAGTCAAAAGACAAAGGTATAATGATCGCCCATATCTATTTGATAATTAGGACAAAACTTAGCTCTACTAAATAGACTGATCAAAACTAAAGATAAGTGGTTACTCTCAAATTAAACATAACACAGTATAAATCAGACTCTGGGAATTTTCAGTTGGCTCAAAGGACTTAATATTGTTACTTATATTTCTCCAGGTACAGAAAATACAAGAATCCAATTTTTATATATCTTTCCATTGACTCAAACTATTACAATACCTCTTTGATTAAACCCTTTATTTGAAGACTTCACCCTATTCAAAGGTGATGAATCACAATGATCCAAGGTGACTGAAACTGCAGGGGGCAGTATATGACATGACTTCCAACATAATTCTTAAGATTCAGGCAAATTCCTCCAGTTAGTGTAGCCTTAACCTTTAAACTACTGACATATATTTCAATCAGAGATCCCAGATAAAAATGAATTTTTCAAGATAGTTCATTGAAATTCTTCCCCAAGCTTAATAATTAAAGGGAGGAAAGTACACTAAACTCACTCAGGCCATATAACATAGTCCAATCAAAATAACAGAACACATTTTTTTAAAAAACCTTCATATCCACACTCTTAAAAAACACAGGTCATCATTCAAAACTATAAAGTTCATTTACTCACATGTAACTCATTCCAAAATGTATTTTAAATCATTATTAAGTATACATAAGTAAACTCTTTAAAAGTAGGATTGATTCATCATGGGAAAAATGTAATGAAATACTGGGCATGATATAAGTAGGACCTGAGAAAATTAAAGTTATTCTAAGATGAAAAGAAAAAGGAAAACTTAATTTTATTCAGTGTTGTATTCATAGTTGCCATTATGGTACAATATATACCCAGCTATTCATTAATCTTCTTTCCCCAGACCCACACGGGCTCCATGCACCTGTAACCTCAGGACATCGTCTTCTACACAAAGAAGAGTAATTTGCAATTAATAACTGAATTAAGTTAGATGAAGCTTTCCTTGTGTGTGTTTTGAGTAAAGGTAAGATTTGGTGGTAAGCACATCAATCTTCTTCCTTGTGTCACTTTTGCCCTTTTACCCACAACATATAATTAACTTTCCTTTGACAATGTAAAGAGTTAACATAAATATTCACCTCATAGGTATAATTTCCAAAGCACCTCACAACAATAATAGCTACTAACAGTTACAAGGTGTTTACTATGTTCCTCATACTGTTCTAAGTGATTATCGTATGTTAACTCAATCTTCATGACTCTGTAAAGTAGAAATTATCATCCCCGTATTATAAATGGGTAAACTGAGTCAGGGAGCGTCTGTGAGGTGCCCAGGGACTCATGGCTACTGATTGGTAGAGCTCGTATAAGATGTATCAGTCTCAACAGGAAGGAGACCACATATCCCCAAGTCACACACCTCAGGGACCAAACTACAGTGGAACTGGTGCCCACCATATATTCACCTTTCTTGACTACATACCCTAGGACCAAGCTCAAAGTGTTAACAAGATAGAGTACAATCTACAGAGCACGATTAAAAGCGTAACGCTGCAATTAACCAGCGGAATATACAGAAAACATGTCTAGGACTTTTGGTAAACTCCTGGGCAATCTTCGCAGGTAAAAGCAAGGCCTGGCCTGTCAGGGTAGGTGCCCTGATATGAGAGCCTAATCCAGTCAATTTGGGACAGTCTACTCTAACACCTCCTCCCTCAAACTCATCCGTTTTATCTTCATGTCTTATTTGATTCCCCTAGTTATCTTCTCAAGCAAATTAACTATTTGTTCACTGTTCTCTAAACCAGGGGTCCCCAACCCCAGGGTCATGGACTGCTACTAGTCCATGGCCTGTTAGGAACTGGGCCGCACAGCAGGAGGTGAGCAGTGGGTGAGCGAGTGAAGCTTCATCTGTATTTACAGTCACTCCCCATCGCTCGCATTACCACCTGAGCTCCGCCTCCTGTCAGATCAGCAGTGGCATTAGATTCTCATAGGAGCACAAACCTTACGGTGAACTGCGCATGCGAGGGATCTAGGTTGCACGCTCCTTATGAGAATCTAATGCCTGATGATCTGAGGTGGAGCTGAGGCAGTGATGCTAGCACTGGGGAGCGGCTGCAAATACAGATTATCATTAGCAGAGAGGTTTGACTGCACAGAGACCATAATAAATCAATGGCTTGCAGACTCATACCAAAACCCTATCAGTGAGTGGCAATTAAGCTGCATCTTACGGAGCAGACTGGACATAAGCCACACTTCGGGTGTCACTGTCTCCCATCACCCCCATATGGGACCATCTAGTTGCAGGAAAACAAGCTCAGGGCTCCCACTGATTCTGTATTATGGTGAGTTATATAATTATTTCATTACATATTACAATGCAATAATAATAGAAATAAAGTGCACAATAAATGTAATGCACTTGAATCATCCCAAAACCATCCCCTCCCCTCCCTGAGTCTGTGGAAAAATTGTCTTCCACGAAACTGGTCCCTGGTGCCAAAAAGGTTGGGGACCACTGCTCTAAACTGACTTACACTAATCAACCTTCTCTAAGTTTGAGCAACAGAAGTCGGTCTTCTGAAGCCCTCAGTATCCCCTGAACAAACTCATCCTCAGGGTTCCAGATTAAGACAATTAAGAGACCCTCACTCTGGAGGAGCAAGGATTACAGTGAACTTGAGAACCTCCTCAATGAATTCCTCAATGTCCACAATTAACTGGAGACCAACCTATCACACTGGACAAGACACACCTCACAGAGCACAGCTTCAGGATATATATCCAACTGCTAAGTTTGTGAGGAAACTTCCCCCTCCACTTTGGACACTTCTAGACTGTTGGAATTTTTTGTTTTCTAAACAACAGAACGTATATTACTTTCAGGAGGTGTTAACTTCAGGAATTTTTCTTCTGAAAATATTCAGGAAATTCAAGCATCCAATCACCAGTAACTTGTATTCATGAATCTCACAAAACCAGGGAAAAATGAATTTAACCAACTTTTTTATATTACTCGGAGAAGTCTCCAATGAGAACAACCTAACAAAATCACAGGCTTCTTCATACCTTGTTAATATTGTTGAGAAACGCTGGTCATATAATTGATGGTTGACTAAACAACAGTTTCATGTCATTTAAGAATAATGAACATAAACTCACAAATATTTTAAATGAAACAAATAGAGAAAAGAAATACCTCAAGTTCCACGAGGGCTGCAGTCACTGCATCTGTTGCAAGGGCACCAGCCTGTAGCTTTTCAATTGCCTATGAAACCAAGGGGCAAGATTATTCATTTTAAAACCACAACTTCTTAAACATACCCAGAAACTTTCCAAAGGCTTGAAGAAGTGTAGGAGACATTCAGAGTTAATAAAAATTGATCACTAGAGTTCCGTTCCATACCTCAAGACATAAACGACTTAGATTTAAGATAAGCAATTATTCAGGATAATTTGTAATATAGCTCACTTATTATTATTCAAATTAAGACAATGAATAAATTTAGCCACTAAATACAAAATGCAAGGAATTTAGTAAGTGAAAGGGCTTCATTCATCACAGGGCAGTTCACAGAACCATAGATATTATATGAATTCCATTTTGAAATTTGAATTCATATTTTATACAGACTAAGCTAACCATTTCTCATCCCACCATTACTACTCTCTCTACCCCTAACTATAAAAAGTAGTTACTCTCAGTCACAGAGGCATTTCAGAATCCTTAGATGGAGCATACATTTGACAAAAGCATTTTTGATTCTATAAGGTATTCTACATCGAGATAAACATATAATATTCCTTTGTAATATAATCTATAGAGAGCAAAGGTCACTAAAATCACCTTGCTTCTTAGGTATAAACTAAGACAGGAAAGAAAGAGAAGGAAGACTGATTTTTAAATGAATAATTGAAGCTCCGATTTATTCAACAAAGATCAAAAACTAAGCACTGTATTCCTCATGAAACTTTTAAGAAGTTCATTTGTTGTATAAATTAAGGAGGCTGGTTACACGCTCTAAATGTATTATATACAGAACTATATTCCTATAAAACCATTTCTTCTCAGATAACAAAAAGATTTCACACTTTGAAAAATAAGATAAAGTAATATAAAATAGCTTAAAGAATATTTACCTTTATTATAAATTTTTTTTAAAAATGAAATCCCTGTAACCAAATATTCTTATTCATTTATGAGATTTCATTCATAAGAAAAATCTTGGATCGCTAATAAAGTATAATCTTCCTTAAATGGTATGTAAATATAAATGAAAAGAGCTGAGAGACCCCTATTTACTTGATATGCAATGTCCAATTAACATTCTATTTGCATAAAAAGTAATGGAAGGTTTGCCTACAAGAGTATACAGTCAGGATCAAAATAAAAACAAACAATATTTCTTCTGAGTCCATTCCTGCCTCCACATTAAGTATTCAACAATTTAGCAAAACCTCAAAAAACAAAGATAAAAAAAAAAAGCACAACTGAGTACAAGGGCAAAGTTAAACTCAGGAATGACAATGAATTTGCTATGATAAAAATTACGTGATGGAAAAACAGAAGGAAAAAGTACAGGATAATCTCCCTAAGAAGAACATCCATTTTAATTTTTTATTATTTTTTTTCTTCCCTTCATAGAAAGACACATTGGCTGCCTTTGAGCTGTTTTCCCTACCCCTTCTATAGAGCTCAGTGCCGTTTCAAAGATTAAAAGATATATGATTATGTGCCCACAATTCCAAAAATACAGACTTTGATCTGGGAAAGGAAGGAAAAGATCTAAACATGATTTGGAGAATAAAAAACACAAAACAAAACAAAAAAAGACCCCACAAATATGAGCAAAATTACTTTGTGGCCCAAACCAAAGACTGTCTTATAAATCAAACCTTAAAATTTTGAATTTCAAGGTAAAGCTGCTTTTGGTCAAAACTAAACTGTTTCAATCAGACAGAATACATTCTCTTCATACCTTCTGACAAGCTCGTTTGCATACGTGTTTATATTCCTTGGCTTTGGATTCAGAATGATAACCTGCACCTGTAGTGAAAAAAAAACAGTCAATTGTCAACTGTCATTAAGATATCAGAGACCTTGCTTATATTATATAAATAGCTCATATAAACTGATGCTCTCCTAGTGACAATAAAACTATTGTCCTAAGTGCATGGAGTCTTAAAAATCTAACAGCTTCTTTCTGCACCATAAGTCTTTTTAATACCATGCCTTATCTCCTCTTTCAAAAGCTATTTTCCTACTAGAGGCACCAGAAATAGCTTATGTCCCCAGAGCAGCTTCCCCAAGGTCACCTCTCCTTTCGAAAACTTCTCCAAAGTTAGGAGTTTTTAAGCTGGAGTTGATAACCCAGGCAGTGTCCAGGACAGAGTCCCTCTAAGTTCCTCTCTGTTGACCTTTGGAAAGTCCCTGCCAGAATTCTTAAGAGTGACTTCAGAAAACTAGGTAGTTTCTGAATAATACTTGAAGTTGAGGGGTGTTATATCCCACCTGTCAACAACCACCACCAATATCACCATTCCTACCCAAACTTTTCCATCCGCTCACCCCTGGAATGTAGCTCAGGGTGTCTCTGAAATCTCAGTGATAGTATATTCACAACTGCCTATTAGAAATCCTGGTGGTCCCTGTCTCTTAATCAAACACCCAGCAACTTCCTCAAGAGAATGGCTCTGAAATTTGTTTCCCTAAAAGGAGTAATACTTGCTTAGTTAGGGATTTGAGAATAACCTAAACAAGAAAGAAACCAAGACAAGAGCCCTTAATCAAAGTTCTTTAACTTTTTCTGAACCTCCCCCTCAGCCCCCATCCCAGCCCCCTGCTGGGCCCCGAAGGGGTCCAAAGTAGGGAAGGTTAAAGAACTACATCTCTGTATAGCTGATTCACTTTGTTATAAAGCAGAAACTAACACACCATTGTAAAGCAATTATATTCCAGTAAAGATGTTAAAAAAAAAAGAACTACATCTCTAAGCCTCAGGGCTTCTCCTGTGAGACTGCAGACTATGACACGAACTTAACCCACCTTTCACCAGGGCAGAGAAAAAACAAACCCAAGAAGCTATGGTTAAAGGACCCAAGAGAACAGAAAAGATGCCCAAACAACACAAATCCATAACACAGGCAAATGTTAGTCCCATTTCTCAAGAAAACTCTGAAACTTCACAGAACCTGCGCCAATATTTAACAGGACTCTCTTCATGGTTCACTAATAAATGATCCCAGGTCTGTTGTCTTAGCAGGCCCCAAACTTTGAGCAGTGTTTCCCAAACCATGGGATACTATAGCCAAATAGATAATTTTAGTGTGTGGATAACAGCACTAATAGCATTAACATATCAATCCTCTACTTAGAATAGGGAAACCATCTCAGCATTACTCCAGGAGATCTTTAATACCTGATTAACACTTGCTAATTCCTCTACTTAACAAAGGAAAGGTAAGCTTAGGATCTAAGCAGCTGACAAGCAACAGAACCTAAATAAAATTTAATCACACAGGTTTTTTTGCACTGTGTTTAAATTATTTTCTCTTCACGCATGTGATACCAACATTCCACTTAATTAAAGGTAAGTTTCATCTTTAAAATGTTAAGGTTAAAAAGTGTTTATCTTTTTTTAATATTAGGTAAAATATAGGTAGTATACAGATCTGAGGCAAAGCAAGAATCTACTACTCAAATGACTAAAACATGGGCAAGTCTCCTTTAGTGCTAAAAAAAAAAAAAACACTTTTAAAATCTCTACACTGGAATTGAAATTTTATTCCTTAAATGTACAAGATACATAATGCTGCATAATCAATCACTCTATCTGAACTTCTAATAATTTAGAAGGGGAAGGTCACCCTTCATCCATACAATTTCCTGTCATAACCCAGATTTCCTCCTATTACAGCTGGCCCCCGGCACCAACTTTGTCTAAGAGCCACAGCCATCAGGGTGTGTCTGAGACAGTGGGGAGGCCACAATGACTGTCATAGAAGGCAAACCTTTCCAACTAATCAAAAGCTCCACGTTGTTGCTTTTACACATCTCAGGCCTTTCTTGGACATTTTTCAAATACTCATTCTGAATGAAATAACTCACTGGGTACTATGAAAGATGCACCACCACCATGGTGTAGTGGAAAGAACACTGGACTAGGAATCTGAGTTGTTTCTATAAATTTACCTCACTTCTTTGAAAAATCATTTGAAAGAAAAGGAAACTGAACCTGGTTTTTGTTTTGTTTCTAGATTCTTCTGGATTCAATTCTATAAGGCTTCCGGAGTTGTCTGTGCAGTTTAGATACAGCCAAAAGTTAACGACCAGGAAGAACACCAGTTTGACAAGAAGAAACAATTCCACCCCTCACCCCGTATCAAAGCTAATCTTGCTGCCATCCTGCATGACTGTCTGAGGAAAGTTAAAAGGAGACCCAGCCATTCCTTCTTCCTTCACAGAGGTCATGAACTTTAGACGCTAAATGCAGACAAATAAAAATGACTAAAGAAAAAGTGGGGGGAAAAAAAAAAGACCTACGTAGGGCTGCACTGCTTAGAAACCCTAGAGGCTTCGATGATGGGGACTCAGGGGTTGAACTCACTGTGTTTGTCTTCAAGGTACTCTGAAGTAGAGATTACAGGCTGATGAGGTGCCAAGAGCACTAGACTGGGACTTAAGGGCTCACTTCAGGGTGTCTCAGCCTGGCTCTTGTACGAACTAGCCATGTGGCTGAAGCCACTTAATCTCTCTGGTTTTAAGTTTCCTCTTTTATAATATTAAAAAGGCAAACTAGCTCTAAGACTGTGTAAATTATACTCTAAGATGGACAAAGTCAAAAATGGGGTCAATAAAATTTTTTCAGCGGCATTATTTTTAAAAACACAAACCAGAGTTTAAACAATTACTGTGTCTGGTTTTAGCAACACCTAAATATGGGGTAAAAGTAAATAATAGAGTAGGTGAGTGAAGGAGACAAAGGAAGAGTCGTCATTATAAGATCTTCTAAGTGGGGAGCTAGGGGGAGGCCCTCACTCTATCGAAGTCAGTCTCTTTGGTTCCAGCTCCTCTGGCAGTTTGCCTCCTCCGGATATGAAATTCAATTCCTGGTGTACTTCAAGGCAAGGGAAAAAAACATTATTTTCATCTTCCAACTCACCCACTTGAGCTTACCTGCATGCACCAACACAAAGCCCCCTCGCTTCTCTTTATGGGGCTGCTTTGTTTCCAGCTCTTTAGCTGTTATTTTAACAGCCGAAACCTGAGATGATCTGGAAGGTAGTCCTTCTCCAGAACTCATCCCCTTCTCCATGGTCATTCTCCAAGATCACCATCTTCTACTGGGAAAAGAGCATACTTCCATCCAAAAGTAACTGCAGGAGAGGAATTACTCTAAAGGAAAACAGGCAAAGAGGGTTTGCATTTCTTTCCACTAACACACACGTAACATACAAATTTGTGCACAGATAACTTTCAAAAAAAAATTAAAAACCTAATTTTAAAGTTATTTAACTGGGTAATACAAAGAATATACAAAGGTTAGAATTTAAATCTCTCTGTCCACTGACAGCACTTGCTTGAAGTCACATAAACAAAAGAACTGTTGTAAAAAGACTTCATATTGAGTCCAAAGATATTTTATCTTTCATTTTATCTACATTGAAGAAAACCACAACATAACTTAAATATCACTTTCTACTCCCTCCAAACCAAATGCTAATAACCTCTGGGACATTCTAGAACCACAGGCAGTGCTGGCAACATCACTGAGCCTTGATATAAAGCCTAGATTGCTGCTTATTTTTTTCTCCAGGTTTATTGAGATATAATTGACATACACCAGTGTACAAGTTTAAGGGGTACAACATGATGATTTGATACATGTATATACTGCAAAACGATTGCCACAACAAGGTTAGTTAACACATCCATTACCTCATATAATTACAATTTTTGGTGTGTGGTGAAAACATTTAAGAGCTATAGATTGCTGCTTGCTTAAAGAAATGAAGCAACATACAGATTTACATCTGCCTGTGAAGAACCGCTTAAGAAAAACAGTGTAATACTTCACAGCTCAATCAAAAGACAAATGCTGGGACTTCTCTGGTGGCACACTGGTTAAGAATCTGCCTGCCAATGAAGGGGACATGGGTTCAATCCCTGGTCTGGGAAGATCCCATATGCCGTGGAGCAAGTAAGCCCATACACCACAACTACTGAGCCTGTGCTCTAGAGCCCGCGAGCCACAACTGCCGAAGCCCGTGTGCCACAACTACTGAAGCCTGTGAGCCTAGAGCCCATGCTCTGCAATGAGAGAAGCCACCGCAATGAGAGAAGCCAACACAATGAGAAGCCTGCATACATCAACCAAGAGTAGCCCCCGCTCACAGCAACTAGAGAAAGCCCACGCACAGCAACAAAGATCCAACACAGCCAAAAACAAATAAATTAATTACATACATTCATTTAAAAAAAAAAAACAAATGCTAACAAAATTATATGACTAAACCAAGAAATTAAAATAACACTTGTGCGTATACTTGTTAATTTTCATGAAAGCGTTATTTCTGAGGTTCTCAAAAGATAAATGATAAAATACAAAACTTAATAAAACAAATTACAAGCAACTTAAACCACAAAGTTTCCAATTTTTCTCACAAATTCACAAGCTTCTAGCAATCTTGGCTTAATAACAATAACGATGGCAGAACACACTTCAGACTGGGGAAAAGTGGATCATTTAAAACTCGACAGAGGGCTTCCCTGGTGGCGCAGTGGTTGAGAGTCCGCCTGCCGACGCAGGGGACACGGGTTCGTGCCCCGGTCCGGGAGGGTCCCACGTGCCGCGGAGCAGCTGGGCCCGTGAGCCATGGCCGCTGAGCCTGCGCGTCCAGAGCCTGTGCTCTGCAGCGGGAGAGGCCACAGCGGTGAGAGGCCCGCGTACCGCAAAAAAAAAAAAAAAAAAAAACACTCGACAGAGATTTGAAGAAAATACCAGAGTCATGCGGTTGAAACTACTTAAACACCTAGATTCACATTGTTAGGTAAAAATGTATACCTTATTCTAAATTGAGAAATGGGGAAGGAGGAGCACAAGTCTTTTCTAATAGAAAACATAAATAGTAACGTAAAGAGTGACTTAGCCAACTAGTCCAAAAGAACAGTGTTACTCAAAGTGTGGTCTGCAGACCAGTGCTTGTTACCAGTCTGCAAGAGATTATTATTTTATTCATATACTAATTGCCTTATTTTTTTTTATTGGAGTAAAATTGCTTCACAATGCTGTTAGTTTCTGCTGTACAGTTAAGTGAATCAGCTATATGTATACCTATATCCCCTCCCTCTTGGACCTCCCTCCCACCCCACCCCGCATCCCACGAATCTAGGTCGTCGTCACAGAGCACCGAGCTGAGCTCCCTGTGCTATACAGCGGGTTCCCACTAGCTATCTATTTTACACATGGTAGTGTATTTATGTCAAACCCCATCTCTCAGTTCATCCCACCCTCCCCTTCCCTACCTGTGTCCACATGTCCGTTCTCTACATCTAGTGCACATTTTCAATAAACAATGTGTACAGTTTTTGTAATTCTTTTCTATTTCCTCATGTTTTGTTTATAACTATATTTTTGAAACAATTTTATCTGCTACATCTAATACAATTATGAGCTTTTACTTTTATCTTTCATTCACAGTTCCATATCTCTGCTTTGTTTTGAGGTTTTTTTGTTTTGTTTTTTTCATTTTACAAAAGAAATGGTCAACAAACGATTGAAAAAAATTTTTAACTTGGTCCTTCACACCAGAAATGGTCTGTGAAGCACTGCAATATGGTATTTTAACTTCCTTTAATTCCTGGTTAAAAAGAGTTCATTTAATTTTTATTATATGTCATTTCATTTAAAGGACAAGTAATTTTAAATCATATATATATGCTGTTGTATTAAAATGTTTACATATATTCATAAATTTTGATTACAAAAGAGTGCTGAGGTTAATTACATAACAGTGGATTAAAATGCCTGTTTTTGTTTTTGTTTTAGGTGGTAGCTCTCTCCCTGAGGATGGATTTTCTTCCAACGACTTCACAAGGATCTGCATCAATTACCTTTATTTGACTTTGGTTATTTCTCTGAGATAGGTTACTATTTATTCCTGTGTCGGTTGACGAAGTCAATTTAAATGATTAGCAGTTCATCTGCCAGTCTATACCTGCCATGAGGTCTGGCCTAGCCATGAAATGAGCTTGGGCCCACTTGTCCCACAAACATAGTTGTGTGAAAACTCAGGCTTTGGAAAATTCAAAGCTTCAGTTTAAATGAAACCATATCCAAGCAGTATGAGCTATAAAACTTACTCTGACTCACTGTCATCAGATGCATTTTTTTTCATGAATAACAAGTTGGAACATCTATATTTTATAATGAATAAGATTTGATGTAATAGGCACTCTTAATATATGTGAGAGATTTAAAAACACTACTTCTCAAGCTTGTCTGAAAAAAATAAAATGTGGAAGATGAATCAATATGCAATTTCTTAAGCAATCTACCATCCCTCAGAGACTATCTGAAATTTTTTTATTTAGCAAACCATGTCATCTCAATAAACTCCCCCAAAAATGCTGGCCCCAAAGTTCTGCTGGACTGGGAAAGGAACTCAAGTAGACAGGCTATCCAATGTACAACTCTGGCCTCCAGCTCCCAATGGTTACTGGAATATTTTTAATTCAATTAGAAATGAAGCAATTTCTACTCCAACATCAGTTTTTGTTTAACTCAGAACCCATTAAAAGTCTGACCTTCCTAACAGAATTCCAACAAATGTCTCAAAAAACAAAAAGACAAAAGGGGGGTGGGGGGGAAGTGGGCAAATCCCAGTTTACAGAAAAATTATACAACAGTCTAACAGATCAAAAGATGCTAAACTGGGCTTCCCTGGTGGCACAGTGGTTGAGAATCCGCCTGCCAATGCAGGGGACACGGGTTCAAGCCCTGGTCCAGGAAGATCCCACATGCCGCAGAGCAACTAAGCCCGTGCGCCACAGCTACTGAGCCCGTGTGCTACAACTACTGAAGCCCGCGTGCCTAGAGTCCGTGCTCTGCAACAAGAGAAGCCACCGCAATGAGCAGCCCGCGCTCCGCAACAAAGAGTAGCCCCCGCTCGCCGCAACTAGAGAAAGCCCGCACGCAGCAACGAACACCCAACGCAGCCAAAAATAAATAAGTTTATATTAAAAAAAAAGATGCTAAACCTCACTCAGAAGAAAAATGCAAAATAAAACTACACTCACATATCATTGGACTAGCAAACAAACCAAAAAAAGTAAGATAATACCATGTTTTGAGGATATAGGGAACCAGGAGTTCTCATACATTGCTAGTAGCAGCAACTCAACATGGACAATTGGGCAAAATAAACCAAAATTATAAATACACACTGAAAGACTGTCTGTAATGGGAAAGATATGGACCAACAGTATGTCTTGATGGAAGTGCTTAAAAATAAATGCAGCTCTTGGAAAAAATGAGAACGTTCTTGATATACAAATATGAAATGATCAGTCTTGAAGACATTTTATCAAGTAAAAAACACGTGGTACAGAAGTATATGCAGTACCATATTTTGAGGGAGGGGAGAAAAAAATACAGTTAAATATATATATGCAAAGCACAATCTGGAAGAATATATCAAAAAATAGCATTAATAGTGGTTACCAGAAGATTTGGGTGACTGGTGGACAAAGGAGGGATGGAAATTTCACTGTTCACCATTGTGTACCTTTTGATTTTGAAAATCTGAATTCATTACTTACAAAAAAAAAGCTTTTTTATACATTTATTTATGAGAACACAGGTAACTAGCCAAGTCCAAGCCCCAAAATAGGGCAAGCCTATGGGATCCCACTTCAAACCTTCACTAAGAGGAGAAATGCCATATTCTGAAGGTTCTCAACACTCATCCCACCTACAGAAGGAATAGACAAAAACATGGCCAATCAACAATACTGGCCAGGGCTTCCCTGGTGGTGCAGAGGTTAAGAATGTGCCTGCCAATGCAAGGGACACAGGTTTGAGCCCTGGCCTGGGAAGATCCCACATGCCACGGAGCAACTAAGCCCATGTGCCACAACTACTGAGCCTGTGCTCTAGAGCCCACAAGCCACAACTACTGAGCCCACGTGCCACAACTACTGAAGCCTGTGTGCCTAGAGCCCGTGCTCTGCAACAAGAGAAGCCACGACAATGAGAAGCCCGCAACGAAGAGTAGCCCCCGCTCACCACAACTAGAGAAAGCCCGCGTGCAGCAACAAAGACCCAACACAGCCATAAATTAATTAATCTTTTAAAAAATACTGGCCCAAGAGGTCTTTTTTGGTTTTGTTTTTCTGGATCTTGAACTTCTAGGGCCACACAAACCCCAGATAATCCTAATTTAAAAATAAATAAAATTAGTATTTGATCTCTACAGTTAAGACTAAGGAGTAAAAAAATAAATCATGACCAAAGATTGACATCAAATATATACCATCCTTTTCTAACTCACCTTGTAGTCATCTTGGACTGCGCCCAGTTTCCAAATCCTATAGATTTCTTCTCAAGCATTTAACTTCCTTCTCCCTACTGCCTTGACCCTTGTTCAGCTCACATACCTCTTAGCATAAGCATTACAAAAAGCATATTAACTTTTCTCCCCAAATCCAGGCTGTCATAAAACAACCATCTACAAAAGGCTGCCAAAATAAATCTCATAAAGGACAATGCTAATCAAGACAAACAGCATGCCAAAAGACATGAGAAGGCAGTACATAAAAAAAGAAATATAAACTGGATATCCAATATTAAAGAAAGAATATTCAAAGAAATACAAGAAAAAAGAAGAAAGAAATCTAATTAGCACTGTATTGCCATCATAAACTGATGTACCCGTTTTGAAAAGGAATGTGTCAGAAAGTACCAAGAGCCTTAAAATATATAATTTTGTATATACCCGCTCCCCAGAGATACTTTATATATGAACTAGTCTATATAGACACAAATAATACTACCATGGATTCCTCTAAAGAGTACTGGGAGACTGGAGAAGAGGGAGGGGCAAGGATGAAAGGGAAAATTGATTTTTCTCCTAATAACATCTCATATTTGAATTTTTTTTTAAGTGGGTACTATTTACTAAAAAGAGAAGATTTAAGTTCTCTGTCTCTGGGACCAAGATGAATGTAAATTAACTTGATTATCAAGGGCAGAAGAGAAACTCAGAATAAAACACTTTCTTTGCTTCAGGGACTTTTATGGCACTGATTTAAGGTCTAAATCTTGACTCTATTTCTCTCAAAGATTGTTTCATTTTCCTACTGCATGTGATGACACTATTTTTTTTTTTGCATTAAGCCATTTAGAACACTACCACATGTCCCGTTTGCCTCTGGTGTTGAAGTTTTTCACTGTAGATTTACTTAGTCTTTTAGAAGCAATTGAAGGAGGAAGGAAGTCATGGAATCCATTCATCTTAAGAGAAAGGCTTTTAGAGAAATCCAGCCCTTAAGCTATAGCAACTGATGAATAAAGAAGCATTTTGTTGCTCTTAACATCATGAGATTGAAGGTTTAATGCCTCATTAAATGAGCTCCAAAACATACTTATTTCATCTTTGACCCAGTAATTCCACTTCTGAGAATATTTTCTACCAAAATAATTTTAAATACAGAAAAGGTTTTATGCCTTTTATGCTGTGTTTAACATAGGATAATTTAGAAAAACAAAAATCTGGGAGCAACTTAAATACCCAACATAGAGAAATAGTTAAGAAAATGATAATCTATGTGTTTCCGATCAACTGGTTTTTGAAAAGGGTGCCAAGGCCATTCAATGGAAAAAGGACTTTTCAACAAATGGTGCTGGGAAAACTGGAGAGCCACATGCAAAAGAATAAAGTTGGACTGCACACCATATACAAAAATTAACTCTACATAAATCAAGCCCTAAATGTAAGAGCTAAAACTATATAAAACTCTTAGGGAAAAGAAAACAGGAGTAAATCATAATCTTGGATTTGGCAGTGGTTTTACATATGACACCAAAAGCACAAACAACCAAAAAAAAAAAAAAAAAAAACCAGATAAATTGGACTTCACCAAAATTTTAAACTTTTGTACTTCAAAGGACACCCTTCAAGAAAGTGAAAAGACACCCCACAAGACGGGAAAAAATGGAAGAAATATTGCAATCTGATAAGGGACTTGTGTCCAGACTATATAAAGAACCCATACAACTTTAAAATTTCTTTAAAATTTTTTTAATTCAATTTAAAATTGGGCAAAGGAATTGAACGGACATTTCTCCAAAGATATACAAAGGGCCGATAGGCACAGAGAAAAGAAACTCAACATTATCAGACATCAGGGAAATGCAAATCAAAACCGCAAGATACCATTCCACAACCAATGGAATGGCTATAATCAAAAAGACAGACAATATGTGTTAGCAAGGATATGGAGAAATCAGAACCCTCATATCCTGCTTGTGCAGGCCACCTTGGAAAACACCTGGCAGTACCTCAAAAAGTTAAACAGTTACCACATGCCCCAGCAATTCCACTCCTAGGTATACATCTAAGAAAACTGAAAACATACGTCCACACAAAAACTTGTACATGAATGTTTATAGCAGAATTATTCATAATAGTCAAAAAGTGGAATCAATCCAAATGTCTATCAACTGATGATGGATAAACAAAACGTGGCATAGTTACATAATGGAATATTATTCAGCCATACAAAGGAGTGACGTACTGATACTTAATACCACATGGATGAACCTTGAAAACATTATGCTAAGTGAAAGAAGGCAGACAACAAAAAGCCACATATTATACGATTCCACTTACATGAAGTATCCAGAATAGGAAAATCCATAGACACAAAGTAGATTAGTGGTTGCCAGGGGTGGGGGAACAAGGGGAGGAGAGATCAATGGTGAGTAACTATAAGGGTACAGAGTTTCTTTTGGAGGTGATGAAAAAGTTATGAAATTAGATAGTGATGATGGGTGCACAACGTTGTGAATATACTAAAAACCACTGAAATTTAAATTTAAAAGGGTGGAATTTTATGAATTATATCTCAAAAAAATCCGTGTAATAGACACAATGTATAAAACATGCTTTTTGGTTAAAATCACATTTTATACACATACACTATGATGCTAAGTAGGTTAAGAATACGCTATTTTGGGGCTTCCCTGGTGGCGCAGTGGTTGAGAGTCCACCTGCCGATGCAGCGGACGCAAGTTCGTGCCCCGGTCCGGGAGGATCCCACATGCCGCGGAGTGGCTGGGCCCGTGAGCCATGGCCGCTGAGCCTGCGCGTCCGGAGCCTGTGCTCCGCAACGGGAGAGGCCACAACAGTGAGAGGACCGCGAACCGCAAAAAAAAAAAAAAAAAAAAAAAGAATATTCTATTTCTTAAATGTAGGGAATTCCCTGGCAGTCCAGTGGTTAGGACTCCCAGTGCTCTCACTGCCAAGGGCCCAGGTTCAATCCCTAGTCGGGGAACTAAGATCCCACAAGGCACACAGCGCAACCAAAAGAAAAAAAAAAGTAGAAAGAAAGAGATCAAAATGTTGGGCTGAGGGCTTCCCTGGTGGCGCAGTGGTTGAGAGTCCGCCTGCTGATGCAGGGAACACGGGTTCGTGCTCCGGTCTGGGAGGATCCCACGTGCCGCGGAGCGGCTGGGCCCGTGGGCCATGGCCGCTAAGCCTGCGCGTCCGGGGCCTGTGCTCCGCGGCGGGAGAGGCCACAACAGTGAGAGGCCCGTGAACCGCCAAAAAAAAAAAAAAAAATGTTGGGCTGGGGCTGGTGGAACCACAGATGATCTCTTTTTTAATATTTCTACATTTTCCAGATATTCTTTAGTAAGCAGGTACTGCTTTGTATAAGTGGGTGGAAAGCTTTATTTAAACAAAAAAGCAAATTATTAAACTCCCAAGTGTATGAAAATTCCTTAGCTTAGTATGCAATGATCTCAGTCACATGGTCCCCAAAATACCTTTCATTCCCCTCCCCTACAGAGGCGAATCAAGTTGAACTCCCTCCTTCCGGAAACACGATGCCCTCTATTTTCAGGGCACCTCCAGTTCCTGTTTTCCACCCTCTCCAGTTGCTCCTTTTCCATCTTCTTGGTCCTTTCCTCTTCCTTCTCCACCTGAGCAGTAAATGCTAACGTTCCGCGGGACTCTAACCAGGCCTCTATTACACTATAGGGCTGCTTTCCCCCACCTGCCACGCAGGACCAGGGCGCACACCCTCGGGTCTCTACGAGCCTCGAACTCGGAGAAACCGCAGCCCGAGACTGCAAAGTGGGTGAAGGACTGCAAGAACTCCCTCCCCACACACAGACAGTCCCTTCCCCGGAGAGGGAATGAAGCCGCCAAGCTGCAGCCGCTGGGAGGGGCCCGGCGCGGGCCCCACGCGCGACCGAGACTAGGGCACGAGGGACGTCCCGAGTCCCTTCCTCCAGCACCGCCCCCAGCAAGGGGCATCCGGCGCGCCGCCCGCACCCGGCCCCGGAGAGGACGTCCCAGCGAGAGCGCGGCGCCCGGACAGAGGCAGCGCACGTCGGCGGCAAGGGCGCGGACAGCGTGAGAAAGAGAGACACTCACCCGCGTCAGCCCCGAGCCCTCACAGCACCGGAAGTAGTCACCCACCCGTTGCCAGGGTGAGGAAGCGAGGGTGACGTCAAGGTTTTCCATTGGCCGTGAGCATAACCACGTGGCCGGAAGCAGGCGCCCACACTCTGCTTGGTCTCCTCCCTCTGCCCCGGAGTGGTTCACCTGGTCGGGGAGGTGCGGGGAGGTGCAGGGAGGACACCACCTGGAGCCTCGCCGTGAGCTGCGCAGGCGCCGTTGCCTCTCTCTCTTCACCCCGCCTCTTAATGAGCCGGAAGGATGTGATCGTCTTATCTGGGTGGTTGGCAGACTAGCGATGTGTTGCGGAATGAAGTTAAACTAGTCATCATTTATTAAGATGTCACTTAAGAGCTTAATTTCATTCAATCCTTGCAACCCCCCCACACAGTAGGGAAAACTAGAGTTCTGCCTGGATTACATGTGGGAGGAAAGGGCTAGCCTTGCCCTGGGGAGAAGGAAAATGCCGGTGGCCTTTCTTTTAGCCTCTAGCATCTAAGACCAAGACCTAGTGACATTATGTAATCTCTTTAATGTTTCCTTGTAACTATTAACATGAATAGTTACCATGTAACTGCAACCGAAAGTGGGATCCGGCTGCTTGCCGCTCAAAAGCAAATAAAGAAGAGGCAAGGTTGGTGGAAAGGAAAGTTTGCTTTATTTTGGATGTTGGATGTTGGCAAGCGGGCCGGGGGGCAACGCCTGTCCAAAGGCCAACTTCCCCAGACTGACAATCAGTGAGCAAGAGCTTTTATAGGTGGAGGGAGGGGGCTACATGCAGAAACAGCACAGTCAGCTCTGACAGTCATCTTAATCATGAGGTGATCTGACCAGTGTTCATCTGGATTGTTTTAAGTACAGTCAGTCTTCAGTTCCAGGGTCGGTTTGTTCCCATCTCCTTGAGGCCAGTTCTTGGAATTGTGGCAGCTTATGTCATGGCTACAGTCTGGTCATCATGTAGTCAACTTCTTCCACCTGGCGGGGGTTTCAGTATGTACAAGACAGCTCACAGGATATGGCTCAGAATATTAACAAGACAGCTCACAGGATATGGCTCAGAATATTATCTATAGCCCTTGAGAAGGAACTAAAGGTCCCTGACTATGCTTAATGACTAAATTATTATTATTCGGTCTCCTTTGACTGTTTTCCTTTGTTTCTGCATTTTCTCATTTCTCCGATTAAACTTATTCTTCAGCTAAAGTTTTTCCACAGACAAAAGGCAGGCTGAGGACATGGGGGCAAGGACCATAGGGTCCTGCTCCATTTCATAACCACCATTAAACCTGTCTTGGGAAGCAGAGATTAAAAGGAGTAGTTCTGGATAGCTCTCAAAGTGTGGTCCTATCACCTGGACTCGTAGCAGAAATGTGAATTCTTAAGCTTTACCCCAGACTTGCTAAATCAGAAACTTTGGGTTTGGGACCCAACAATTTGATTTAACAAGCTGTCTGAGTGGATCAGACACAACTAAAATTTGAGAACCACTGAAACAGAGGGACTTTCTCTTTAGCCTAGTTGCAGAGATGGGTTGGGGGGTGATGGAAGGAGTGCCTCAGAAGGGGGAGCAATCAAGCTGTGTACCTCCAGCAATCAAGAATGAGAGTAAGGGGACTTCCCTGGTGGCCCAGTGGCTAAGACTCCATGCTCTCAACACAGGGGTCCGGGTTTGATCCCTGGTCAGGGAACTGGATCCCACATGCCGCAACTAAGTATTTGCATGCCACAACTATAGATCCTGTGGGCCGCAACTAAAGATCCCACATGCCGCAACAAAGATCCCTCATGTGGCAACAAAGATCCCGCATACCACAACTAAGACCCGGCACAGCCAAATAAATAAATATTTTTTAAAAAAAAAGAATAAGAGTGAGGAAGGCAATTTGGGGCTAGTATGGGAGACCCCAGAACTGATTCCCCTGGGATTCCTAGACGTTTGTGTTAATTGTACAGGAAAGACTTTTCAACTGCTAGTAATTCCAAATTCATTTTATTAACTTTTGTATTCTCCAACATATTTTTCTGCTAATATTTTTCTCTATGAACAAAAATAAAAGGGCATTAAAAGGTCTACTGTGAAAGTTATCTATAAAAACAGAATTTTAGATTTAAAAGGGAATGTAGGACTCTATATTAAAGTAAGTGGTTTAAAAAAGAAAAAACATGTGTTTAAGTCAGGATAGACAGAGGTAGTGCAGTGGTTAAGAGCAAGGATTCTAGAAGCAAGAGAATCTGTGTTCATATCTCAGCCCTACCACCTACCAATTGAGTCACCTTGAACAATTTACTCAATCTTTCTGTGACTCAGTTTCCTCACTTGTTAAATGAGGAAAATAACAGAATCTCTCATAGAGCTGTTCTGTGGAATAAATAAGGTATGTGAAGTACTTAGGAAAGTATCAGGCCCATAATAAGTAATCAATAAATGTTACTTAAAAAAAAAAAAAACATTAAGTTCAGGCTTGTTACTATAAAATATGCAAAGACTCAAACTTCTTTCTCAAATAAATGACACAATGGTATTAAATAAACCAAAAATGTCCAGTTTGCTCTTGGAGTAACTGTTATTAAAATTTGGAAAATAAATTAGTACTGTGCAATTGGAAGGTAAATTATAATATAGGCATTCATGTATTGAACAGATAATTAATTAGATCTTATGCATTATACATGAGAGGTGCTGAGGGTGTGAAGGCTTGAAAGAAGGATTGGAGGGGGCTTCCCTGGTGGCACAGTGGTTGAGAGTCTACCTGCCGATGCAGGGACACGGGTTCGTGCCCCAGTCCAGGAAGATCCCATATGCTGTGGAGCGGCTGGGCCCGTGAGCCATGGCTGCTGAGCCTGCGCGTCCGGAGCCTGTGCTCCGCGACGGGACAGGCCACAACGGTGAGAGGCCCACGTACCGCAAAAAAAAAAAAAAAAGAAGGATTGGAGGACCAGAGAGGTCAGCAAACAGTCAATTCCAGAGCCAAGCACACCCAGCCCCAAAGGTGACACCATCAAGAAACAACTGTACCGATGAACCGGTTTGCAGGGCAGAAATAGAGACACAGATGTAGAGGACAACCGTATGGACACCAAGGGGGGAAAGCGGTGGGGGTGGGTGGGTGGTGTGATGAATTGGGAGTTTGGGACAAAATAGATAACTAATAAGAACCTGCTGTATAAAAAATAAATAAAATTTTTTAAAAAAAGAAGCAGCTATACCTCCACAGGTGTACATATATAAGGATAAAAGTGGCCAACTTATCCTCAGATAATGTACAGTTTAAATCTTATATATGCATGTGTGTGTGTGTGTGTGTGTGTGTGTGTTTGTGTGTGTGTGTGTGTGTATGTTCGGTCCCCAGACCATGTCAGGAGATCATTAGTATCAAACTGTTATTTTATAATAATACTAAGATATTTATTTATCTTCCTATTCTCATTCTCTTACAAGCGTAAAATGTGCAAAAATTTCATAGATAGGATTTCAAATTTCATATTGCAACTAACTTTTAAAAAACCACCACCTGTTCAGTTTTGGTGTACTATCCAAAAAAAAGTATGCACAATTATCTGATAAGGCCATTAAAATATTCTGTCCTTCTCCAGCTACAATCTGTGGCAGGCTGAATTTTTTTTTTACATACTTCAACCAGCACAACATATCACATCAAATTGAATTCAGAGGCAGAAAGGAGAATATAGCTGGCTTCTTTTAAGAGATTTGCACAAATGCAAAAGATAACACTTTTCTCTCTACCTTTTTTGTTTGTTTTCAGAAAATACAGTTATTTATCAAAATACAGTATTTATATTAACATGCAATAGATTTATTTTTAAACAAAAATATTGTTTTATATTTTGGTTTTAATCTTTAATACGGTAAATATTAATAAATATAACCCACATGAACAAAATATCTGGAGCATTCTCAATTATTTTTAGGAGCAAAAAGTTGTCCTGAGATGAAAAGCCAGATAACTGCTGATACAATTATTATAAATTTAGTCTGTATAGGATAGTAGTTATTTGGAAGGACTTTGAAATCAAATAAACCTGGGTCTATCTCCTGGATGTGCCACTTACTAGATGCCTAATATTGAACAAGTTACATAACCTTTCCTAACTTTGTTTTTCTTATCTGGAAAATGGAAGTAACAACCTACTTCATGGGATTGTTCGAGAATAATTAATGTAATGCATGTAAAATATTTAGCATATTGGCATTGTATAATAATAAGTGCAATGAGTAAGAAATTAGTACTTGACTATAACAGATGTCACATATAAAAGTATTTGAGAAAGCAAGGAATAGGCAAGGAAAAGTCAGGAAAGAAGAGACAAGCATTTCAAGCAGAGAGAACAGCATATGCAAAACCACAAAGACCTGCAAAAGACTGAATTCTGGGAACTCTAAATAGCTCATAACAAAGGGATCATAAAGTGGAAGAAAGTACTGACTGTTATGTGAGGAATAAATTATGGAGATCTTATGCCATTCTGTGGAGTTTGGATTTTAGCCTGTAGTCTGTGGACAGCTACTATATCATTTTGAACAGAGTAGTGACAACGATCATATTTGCATATTGATACCCCTCCCATCTAAAGGTGTGTCTATGTTCCCTCCTCTTGAATCTGGGCTGGCTTTTGACTTGTAGGATAAGTGACTCTAGGTGACTTCTAAGGAAAGGTCACAGAAGCAATGCAGTTTGTGGTTCCCTCTTGGAATACTTTACTCTTGACTCCCAGCCACCATGCTCTGAGGAAGCCCAAGCAGCCACACGAGGAGACCATGTATAGACGTTGTGACCAGCAGCCCCAGATAAGGTCCCAGCTGGCAGCCAGCACTGACTGCTGGACCAGTAAGTGAATGGGCCTTTGGAAGATTCCAGTCCCTAATCCTGGATTAACTTCCAGCCTTCTGTTCTTATGGAAGGTGGTTTGTGTGTTTCCCAGTGTAGGCTGCAGACATCATCAGCAGAGACAAGCCTTCTCCACATGTCCTTTCC